ACGAATATGAAAATCTGACCTTAATCTAGAAATTACCGGCAACACAAAATCCGGCCACCTAATTGTTAACCTTAGCCTATATTCGGCATAACCTGTCACACATTCTAGACATGCCGAACCAAGAATAAAGGTCGCGTGACTTTGGCAAAATCAAAATTTCCGCCCAGTCTACAGACACTAGAGTGTCTAGAATTATGATGCGCGCATAATTTGGCACATATCGCATAGCATTATGCACAGGTTATCCGGCAAACTCATATGATAATGAGAGGAATATATGGCATACTGCCCTTCTTATAACTAATTACTATTGTAAATTTTAATTATTTACGTATTTCTTCTCATTTTGTCAAATGCTAACATTCTAATTTATTATACTAGATAGCTTTATTCTTGAATCACCGGCTCAAATTGCTTTAATCGTGTTTATTCCAGTATTCAAATTAAAACTAGAGTAGCTGCGCGCCGCGCAGGACCAGTACGATCATAATAGTACGATCAAGTTCTACGGATATTTTTGGTGCTCCGGAGGTATTATAAACAAAAGGAAAAGAGTATACTCAAAAAGCAGATACTTATTCTTTTGGGATAAATTTTCACTGGATATCCTCCATATCATGATATTCCACATGATTTTAGACTAGCAATACAAATTTGTTCCTCAATTACTTTTGGATTTGATGAATAAATGTTTAGATGCTGAGCCTAAAACAGGCCTAAAGAAACAGAATTATACAAACAAGTTGAAGAAATTAAACAATCTATTTATACAAGTCGATCTTTGGATTTTCAAAAACTCCCTAAACCAGTAAATTCAGGTAAGCATATTATCTCGTCCTTAAATTTATATTTTAATAATAATTTTTTTAAAAAACGCTAATTTTAGGTTGTTAATTATAATTTTTTTTAAAAAAATGCTAAGCAGGGATAGCTAATTGTACAGACTAAGATGCTAGCTGAAATCGGTGGTTTGACCGAATTGGGAAAATAATGAGCTGATGGGTCATAGGCAGACATTCGTATGATTGGCAGTTTAAATCAAATTAATTTTACATTATTTATACAGTTTAAAGTACTTTTTTTAAAAAAGAAAACTACTACGAATAAACAAAAAAGAAGGATATAGAAAGTTTTATTAGGGTTGTAGGACTCCACTATTAAAAATAATCAAAATTCTTTTTTGTTTTAGAGAAGTTAGCATAATAGCGACTTCTTAAAATTAGGTTATCACCATGCTAACTTCTCTAAAACAAAAAAGAATTTTGATTATTTTTAATAGTGGAGTCCTACAACCCTAATAAAACTTTCTATATCCTTCTTTTTTGTTTATTCTTCGTAGCTTTCTTTTTTTTAAAAAGTACTTTAACTGTATAATGTAAAATTAATTTGATTTAAACAGCCAATCATACGAATGTCTGCCTATGAGCTGATGGGCGTATACGAGCTTATTAATTCAGATGAGTACCTTTTAATTAGTTGCCTCTTTGGGAACTCTATGAATAGCATGCGAATATAATAAAATTAGTCTCACCGATAGAAATATAAAATAGCCGATACGGAAGAAGGCAACGATTGCATCACGCAAATACGGAGCGAGATTCGCACCCAAATCCTCCTACCCAGGCAGAATCCTGCCATTTGTGGTATCTTTAAAAGCTTCATATCAAAAGTTAGTCTGCGTTATGCAGTGTGGAAACCACCGACTGTTGCTACACATCTTGATTCAGCTTAGTGCTTCGATCCGCAATCTGACTAATTCGGATTGATCTGATAATTCGGATATCCGTCAAACAGATCATAATCTAGATTAACATATGATATACATGTCATGGTTCTGATTGGTCATTGCTTATGGAGAGAAATGAGATTAATATGAACGACCATACCATAGACCACTTTTGTGGTATAGCCACCCTACCGGTAATTTGAATTTTTTTTAATTTTTTTTTTTAAAAAAAAATAAGATAAAAAATAAAAAAATCTACATAAAAATTTTTGAATCTGTCTGTGGCACAGTTCTTTTGTACAGTATTTGTTCTGCAAGAAGAGTCTAATTTATGCATCAGATTGAAATGCATACGTATCATTGATGCTTTGTAGAAAATCTAAATTAATACCTTTTTTGGGGTCGATGACATACGTAGTATGAATTTTTTTTTACACACATTTATTATTATAATGATAAATTTTCACAATTGATATAAAGCTGTAAAAAAAAGAACATTCGTTTTAATAGATTTCCGTTTTTAGGAAGTGTATGTATATATCAATTCAATTACATATCCTGTTAAAAATATTAGATAAATTCTATTTTTCATATTTAACATTTTAACGTTGTTTCTATGTATGTTTAGTTTTTTTAGCTTATTGTTTTTTTTTATGATTAGTTTTTTTAGCAGTAGGATAATTTTTTAAAAAATAAAATATACTGTAATTTTAAACTTTATAATAACTTACGTGCTACGCATTTGAAGTTTGAATATTTACTATTAAATTTTAACTTTCGGCAAATATTATTATTAGAAATGGAAACTGTTATGATCCGAAGCATAAGCAGACATTGCTACGCGTGACACGTGGCGTATAATCTTTAAAAAGTATCTAGTTGAATTTTATACTAACAGAAACCATTTTACAGAATAAGTGAGTAACTCCGCGGAATATCGCGTGATCATTATATCTATAGGACATCCCAATTGTGTAATATAAAGAAAGATTTAAAATGTATTAGAGAAGTGTTATCAGCTGATTTTTTGTAAATCCTCAAATGACGATTATATATAAAAGTGACGATATTTTGGCACCCACTCCCCTGCTAAAAAATCGGATGATAAATGACACTTCCCTTACTAAACATCTATTATGATATATTTTGACTAATGAAATAAAATTATTAACCAATTAGTGATCCTAGCGCTAGCCGAAATTAAAAAAATTTGCTAAGCCGATTTTTTGACAGTGGTCGATTTTTTTTAAAATCGGCTAGCCGATTTTAGAAGTACATCAAAGCGCGTAACTTGGGTCAACTATTGGTTAAACAATAAGCCAATCAGTTGAGAATTGGTTGGTTAAAAATCAACTATCAGGTCAGAGTTAAAAAAGCAGATCATTTTTTGGATGCGCCTAGGGATGGATTGGTCTTCGTAAATACTAGAACTGGACCGTAAAAGGCTGAAGACCGAATGATTCTCGGTCTCCTGATCCTGATTATCGATCAAGAAAATAAAACGCACATATAAATAATAAAATTTTCATTACCTTTTACAACCATGAGCGATGACAGTAATAAAGTAAGTGTTGAAGTTCCAATTTCAAGTGAAATAAACATTGAAGTGGCAAGAGCAATTCTATTAAAAAGTTGGCAAAAGGAATTTGCAAATTGGATACCATGTGCTTAATTTTTTACGTTAAATTAGTTTTCGCATATTAAATACATATTCATATTTATATGTGCTGTATTTTTTGCATTTTTTATTATTATTATTAAAAATTTGGCCGCTTATCAATAAAAATTTTAACATTATGCATTGAAAATTATAAGTCGTGAGACCGATTCTAGGACCGAAAAACGACCGGCAGGACTAATAAACATTATAAATCAGTCCTACAAGGACTGGGACGGACTGATCCCTAGATGCGCCCAAAACTAATCTAGTGCAGACTCAATCCGGATTTGATTGAATCCAAATGACTTGTCTAAAATATAATCGAAACTAGTTATAAATTATGAATATAAAAGGAAGTTATTTAAACTAAGATTCATTTAAAATTTTTTGACTAAGCCGATAAAATTTTATCGATTTGGCCGGTCGAAATTTTTTGATTGGCTAGGATCACTATAACTAATCATAAATTCAATAAATTTTTGTCCAATTAATAATCTATCATCTTCATAATCAGCAGTTTTCAACCCGGCTTGTGCAAATTCTGGAGTAAAAATTCCTTTATTTAATCGAGCATTAATTAATAACTTTTCTGCTTCACCAACAAATTCAGGATGACCTTGAACTGTTAAGACTTGATTTACTTTTATCATTCCTTGAAATGGAGATTTTGAAGTAAACCCTAAATTATGAAAATTTTTAGGCAAAATATTCACATGATCCTAAATAGTTAAATAATAAAAGTAAATTAATTTTTAATATCAATAGAAATGCATAAAAATAGATGGAATAAATCATGTGTAATCATGTGTTTATACTTGATGCATTTGTTGAATACGCTAAAAAATATACTTTCAAGTTAAAATTTTATTTGTAATAAAATACAAATAATAAATATTGTTATTTACCAAAACTTTACTGTCTATCTTAAAAAAATTTTCTCCAATATCAGTAAGTGAAACTTCTGTTACACCAATCTTGTGAAAATATAAGAGATTATTAATCCTGGGATATTAGAACATTATATTACATAATAAAATCAATTCACCTCCCAACCCAATGGGTTTTTAATAACCTGGCCACCTGCGGCTCTGGCTACAATTTGGTGACCAAAACAAATACCGATTAATTTAATATGTTGATGTTTGTCGATAATAAGTTTCGTAAAATCAGTGAGGCGATTAATCCATGGAATATCATCATAAGCTGATGAAGCTAATTAAATTATTAATAAAATAATTAATAATAATCATAATAAAATATCTTTAAAATGCAATCTTAATTAATATTACCAGAACCGGTAATTATAATGCCATCCGTTTTCAGCAAGTCGTCTTCTTCAGGAAACTCCATATTTTCTACATCATAATTTTTAATTATCAACGATAGTTTCTGCTCGCTACTATTAATAGCATTTTGCAAAAGATCTGAAATTTGTTTGCCATAATGCCCAAATTTTTCGATTATCTCTGGTATCGGTGTACCTGCGAGAAGAATAGATACTCTGAGGATTTTTTGTGGTTCATCCATGCTTGGAATGTATGTATGTACAAGTTTTAATGATGAGTACAATTTATGATGATACGTGCAATTTTTAACTTATATAGATAATATTAGCATCCAATTGTTTTCATTGCAAAAAATTTAAATTTTTTTAATCCAGTTAAGGGTTCGATTGTCAGCTGGCTAATTAAAAATCCGAAGTCACGTGAATGACATAATCACGTTTAATTTATAGTTGATTTCTATAATTTTTTGATGTGTACGTCACCCTAAATTTAAAAAAATCACATACTGTAATAGAATTTGCGTCTAACCACCCTTTAACCGATTACTTTTTTCATCAACAACAAATCGACCACTAACGATCGGTTAATACCTTTTACCCTTTAAATTTTGAGTACGTACAAACAAAATTAGCCCAGATACATTACACAAATTCGGTGCGTACGTATTACATAACGATTAGTGTAAATTTGGGTTAAAATGTTCGGGTGTTATGGAAGGACAATACGTGGCAATATTGTAAACCTTGGACTTCAATACCGATAAATATAAAACTAATATAGAATGAAAAGTTGTATTGGCCGACAAGCAAATTTCACATTTAAAAAATAATAGCTATCGATAGCTTTGATAAAATTCAAACCGAACAAATAAATGTATTAATTTTTTAATTTTTTTTTTTTTACGTAAATATCTGATAAATTCGAAATTATATAGCAATATCTTTTTAAAAAAATTTTCTCAAAAATTAAAATTAATTAATCAGAAGCAATATTTTCAATTTTATCTCTGTTTTTTAAAAAGGTTTAAAACAATAAAAAACTGTTTACATAAAATGTTTTTTTTTTACTATCCCTAGCTTTATCATTATCTGACGGTGCATTCGCTTTTAATAATTATTTGATTGAGAATTAATTAATTTTATGTTTGCGTTAGTTCGAAATCTCTTACAAACCTATCTACAGTTTACATGAAATAGGAGTGGTGAAAATTAATGAAGAAAGGCCTCTCAAATCGAACCGAATCAAAAATTATTAAGGTAAACTTAATAAGGAAACAACACTAGTAAACAATAGTGAGGCATTACTTTACGAGGAATTACTTTCCGGTATTAATGAGGTTTTTATTTTCGGAGTTGACTTGGAAAGACCCTCTTGCGAGCTAAGTAATTGATGATAATTTAGCTCTAGTACAAAAATTAGAGAAAGTTCCAAGAAACTTTTTATGGTGAATACTATTTAAAAATTTAATAAAGATTTGTTTAATTCATCTTATTAATTTATGCTATTATTGGAAACCAACACAGGATATGGTCCTTCATCACTTTCACAAATTGTATGAGATAAATGCAATGAATTAGTGCTACAAATCGAAAATCGAAAATCGCAACTAATCGGAAAGTTGACAACTAATCGATTGAAAATTTTTTGGCAACTCATATTAAAATCGAATAAAAATCGAATAATCGAAAAGTTGACAACTAATCGATTGCAAAATTTTTGACGATTTGTAGCACTACAATGAATTCTTGGAGCATAGAAGGAGCCAGACGAGAAGCTTGCAGAGGTTGCATCGGGAATTTTGTATACTCTTAATCTTAATAATGTATAGAACCATCCTGCATTCAGCCCTGAGTTTGCAAAATTGCAAAGCGAAGGTACTTACGTGACCAACAAAGCAGTACCTGCCATTCGGGCTTCTTCCTTTAGAAAGGTCTGTCTACCTTTGTTAGCATGTAAGTTATTACAACTAAAGAAATGCCATTATTATCAATCCTTTTGACTTTTTTAGTGCAGAACAAAGTTCTACTAGTACAGATAGAAGAAGTGAAGGACGATCAGGAAGACGGCCCGATATTATGTTTGTGGTAAAATGCAGTGAAAAAATATATGATTTCATGTATTCCGAATGTTCACACTTGTCTTGTACGCTGAGAAAGATGTAGACGATAAAATAAAGTTATGACTGAATGTATTGGACTCATAAATCGACCAAGTAAAATTCAGAATCGTTGCGATTCAAGTAGCCAGACCAATAATGTCTTATTAGGGATATGGCTAATGTGCACTGCTATTATCATCTCTACGAAGAAAAGTTTCCTGTGCTTCATTTATCATCGAAAATTTTATCAAATTTTACTAATAATTATTAACATGTCTTTACTATTTCATGCACCACCAGTTAGGTCGAAAAGAAACAAAAGTAGTTCAATAGTGGATTCAATGCTAGAATAGAAAAATTTTCTTCTTAAATAGCGATAATTATGAAAAAAGATTACATATATCAAAAATACATTCATTTACTAATTATTCAAAATTAGAAATTTATAATTATATATAATCTATCTATATTTTATTTTCATCTGCATCAATAAAGTTGATCCTGGTAGCAAATTTTACATAAATAATCAGTTTACTTTTGCATATGTATTTCGCTGTTATATAAGTCATATAATACAGTTTTTCAAATTGAATCTATATTGATATGCTAAAATTTCATATTGTATAGAGACTCCCTCTTGGCTCAAATAATGGTAGTACCTGTTCAACACCGGGACAAATCATATCAATGTGAAAATTGTATATCGACATAAGGTTAAATTCTTATAATTTTTCTTTATCATATAACGGTATTCAAATGAATTTCTGATTTTGAATTTTATATATACAATATTACATATAATGTAGTAAAACAAGAAAAATTCAGAAGAGTTAAATGATTAATTTTTTCTTTGTCAAAATAATAATTTGTATTGACAGAGTTAACATTAATTATTAAATTTACAATAAAGTATAAATGTAGGAAACTATAGTATTTTTTATTACTACCAATGATGCTTTCAAATACTTTTCTGTTCTAATATAGGTTTCGTAAAAGTTTGATTCAATTCACTCAATTCACTGTAGTCATTGAAATTTGGGGATGGGATCTTTCCATTGGTAAAAAAAATTCATTAAAGCGTCAGATGTGAACAGTTCTAGTAAGAAATACAATATTAATTGTTTTAAAAAACATCTTCATTATGAACAGCATAATAATTTTAAATCTATATTTATTCTATTCTTATAAAAAAAATAAAAAAATAAAAGTTTCGAATATTAAGTAGAGCCGAAACACAAGGAGGTTCCTAAAAAAAAAAAAAAAAAATCTATACACAAAAAATCACAATATACAAGAAAAAAAATTTACAAAACTTTGGAACTGTTGAGAATCTCTTCAATATCAATTTTTTCAAATCCTCCTTCTTTAACAGCATCCACATCGTTTAAAGTACTATAACTAACTGCAATACAATGGAGACTATCAAGATAAAGCTCTTCAAATTTCCATTGGTGTTCAAGTTCATTATTAATGTATAATTCAGTGTCTGTCTTTAAAGTCTACAATAAAAATATATTTATATAGCATTAATTTCAATATTTATAAAAAATTTCACCGCATTGTAATAATAATAATACCTTTACATTTTCAGATAAATTCTTTCTTTCTTCATTTTCGGGTAAATGAAATTCAATAGTTCTCAAATCTAAAGCCAAACCAATCCCTACAGCTTTTACATAACTTTCTTTTAAACACCAATACCTATAAAATTGATGTAATTGATCTATTTCTTGTAGTGGTGTAGTTATTACATTCCATTCAAAATCCGAAAACTATTTATTTATATATTTCAAAATAAGAAATAAATTTCAACGGATAGAAAATAATAAATAATATAATGGACTACCTGATCTCTAAGAGTTTCAAAAAATTCTTGAACAGTCTGCTTTTTCGGGTATTCAACTTTCATTACATCAATGCCAATTTTACAATTTTCAGCAGCCACCAAAACCACCCAGTCTCCATGATGTGAAATATTAAAGTAAATTATTGGATCATTTGGCTTACTTTCGGGTTTTATCTTTTCATTAAAATTATGAATTAAATCAAGTTAAATTGTGAATTCCTAAAGTTAATTATATGAAAAACATACCAATATAGGTTTATTTTCTTTAGTTCTTCCGAATTTTATTTCATTCCAAGGAATATTATATAATCTATAAAATAAAAACCTCATCAACAATCTTCCGATAAGTGCTAACTTCGAGTCAGAAAAAAATTTAAATCTTTTAATTCGATCGCGTTCTTCTGGTTGAATGAATAAAAGAGCTTTTTTGTATTGCTTTATTAAATGATAAATTTTATTACAAGGAAATGAAAAATTTTATAATCAAATTATACTTTGGATGTATTTTTGAAAATGGTTACCTCTTCAGAAGGATTCCAGTCTTGAATATTGAATGCCCATCGAGCGATTATTTTTGAAGGAGCGAGAAACATATTTAATGATTCAAAAAATTGACTCAAAATTGGCTCAAAAATCAGTTCAACAAATTAATTCAATAAAATTATTATTTTTTTTCCTCTTTTTTTTTTTTTTTGAAGAGGGCGTGAAGTAATGTGCGTATGCATGCTTAATATGTAAAATTCGGATTTGTTTTACTATTTATATTGATATACGATCTACTTGTAAAACAGCATGTACGTACAGAATAATAAATTATCAATTAAATACTAAAAAATCAAACAATATTTATCATAACTTTGAACAATACGATCGATCTTGAACAACGTTATAATTGCATAGCTTAATTAGTGCGCAGCATTGTTTTATACCGATAATATTTAGTGTAATCATGAGCTAAATTACATCATGGTACTATATCCGATAATTTTTAACTTATAAAACAATATTCTTGAAAATCTACTATTAATTTTGGTTGAGCTTTAAGAATAAAAAACTACTGGTAGTGGTAGGTTTTGTTGACCCAAAATAAGCCCCAGGCGTTTATTTCGAGACACAATTTAAAGAGAGCCAATGAATTAATTCAGTAATTTAGTTGAATACTTTCTAAATTCCAATATCTATTGTAATTTTACTAATAAATAAATAAGTTTAAATTTATTGGCTCCTTAAAATTATGTGTCTCCCCTGGGTATTATTTTGGGAAAATAAAATCTAAAATTGAAATTCCGGACCATCATAAACGATAAAATTAGAAATATTCCTGCATTTAGTATGGTCCGATTCTGTCCGAGTTTTATACGTATAAATCAAAATTCGACCTAAACTTTTCGGGTTGAATTCGTACTATACCACAAGATTTAGAGTCTTTGTCAAAGTTTATGAAGTAGATGAAGACTCACTATACACCAAATTCAAATCATATACTGTTAATTAAGTATTTAAATATATATCGAATTATTGTCCGGAGGGTTTAATGAAGTGTACTAGACCGAATTTATTTCCGTACATATTTATATTCGGGTGTTTGAATGATGGCAGATAATTTGTGCAGTCGTCAATAGCATGACTGCACAATAAATAACATTACAGTTCATAGATCCCTGGGATTAAATAAGTTTTTGATGTTAGCCGAAATCGGTAGTCTATTGGTTCTGGCTTGGTAACTTATCAGGTCGGTTATCGACAATTTTTTCAGTTGTCTCAGAATTATTGTGCTTGAAGTTGACATCTGCTTGAAATTGCAACCTCTGACGCCTGAAATTGCACCGATTGGAAATTAGCCCCGAAATTCTTGTATGCATTACGTAGTTAAAGTGCAGATGTTAACTTCAAACATGACTATTATTTTATTTTTAGATAGCATGCTATTAAAATTTTTAGCTTCTAAAATTACGTACTACTAAAATGAAACAATATTTAATATAAATTCGGTATTATGTATATGTATTAGACCAAATGTACTACATTCAAATTTTAATAAAATTAATTCTTCTCACATAATTTCTTGTACCTAACAATATCAAATACAAAAGACAATAATTTATCAAATGAAATTATTCAAATCATCAGTACTTTTAACCAACTAAAATTCGTTGAATGTCAAAAAAACTAGCCAATATAATGATCCAGATGAGATATTTTGGCTTGGTTATTGTTATAAAAATGGGATTGGAGTTGAAAAAAAAAAGAGATAAGAATAAAGCATTGTTCATTATCAAAAATCTGCAGAGATAAATAACGGAATATATCATGTTGGCAATTGTTATTATATTAGGAATTTGTGTTAAAATGGATGCATTATGCATTATTTGAAATCAGCTGAGGTGGGCAATTCTACGTACGTATGGGATTTTCAAAAATGCCATATGTTACGTACTATTATGGAATTGAGTTATGAAAAATATCGGGAATGGATTGCCAAGTAAGTTATTCGTTTAAATTTTACATTTTAAATTTGGAAATTTTTGAAAAGTCTCAAAAACTATTAAGTATTTCGGCAATAGTTTATAATTATATTTAATTAATTCCAACTCATTTATTCACATTAATTTAGTCTGTAAGTATAGAGAATTTATTAATACAAGTATTTAAAATAAGTTCATGAATATTTACTATATATTTACAGTACTTTAAGAAGTGAGTATAAAGAATACTTAGTAATTTAGCTATAAAGTTTATAATATTTACTATTTGATTTATTCGCGTTCAATTTAGAAAGTGAATACATGTATAAAGAACATTTCAAATAAGCTACTCAAGCTTATGGATATTTACTACTGTATCTATTCGCGTTGATTTAGTCTGTGAGTATAAAGACATATTTAATTTTTAATTTAAGTATTTAAAATAAGCTATTCAAGTTCACTATTTAATTCATTTTATTCGTGTTAGCTTAGTCCGTAAGTATAAAGAAAATTAATTTAAATTTTTAAAATAAGCTATTCACGTGAATACTTACCATTTTAATTTCATTAATTTACTACGTACAGTTAGTGAGTATAAAGAACACTTATTAATCTAAATCTTTATACCAAGTTTTTCAAATTCATGAATATTTGTTACACTGGTATTGATAGTTAATTTACAAAAAAACCTTTGCTTGTGGTTAGGATAAGAAGTATAATATATAACAATATCTCGCAAGGAATTTTTTTTGTTAGAAGACAGGTGGTTTTATAATAAAATTTTGAGATATTGATTGGTTTTCTATATGTCCGTGTACAAATCTATTTATTATATTATATAATTTGGATATTGTTAGTTAAATCATCAGGGGGTGCTATATCTCAAAAATGTGTTAAAGTTAGGTCTCTCTCTCTCTCTCTCACCTTTATCCTTTCTGGTTATTTTCTCTGTAATTTTCTTCGGCTTTGATAAATTCTGGGGCAGTTAGTTTTAGTTCGGGATTGGTTAAATCAGGGGGCTTTTTTCGCCTCAAAAGAGAAAAAGAATAATCCGCGGAGAATTACAATAATCAGAACTTTTTTCTCTCGCAAGCAATTCTACTTTTTCTTCCTCAATAATTTCTTTAGCTGAAGCTGGCCGAGATTTGAACCGATTTTAACCGAGCCTTAGGGATTCTAAGTAAAAATATTCAGAACCTCCGAAAACCTTATGTGTAACAAATTTGGACCTTTATACAAATTTTTATTGTGTTATATAAACCTCTATTTCATATTAAAATTGCACCCTGTCCCTAAAAAATTAGAATTGGTTAACATAACCACTGATTAAAATTAGTCATTTTCTAATTATTTTATTTCGTTAATTTAGTTTTGTGAGTATAACGAATATTTGGGGTCTTTGCCTTGAAAATAAGGTATGAGACATACACGATTTACTATATTCCGTAACTCGGTTTTCAAGGCAAAGACTCCATTTGTTAATCTAAATATTTAAATCCAATTTCATGAATATTTATTATTTAATTTCGTTTTATTCGCGAACATCTGTTAATATGAACATTTAAAATAGGTTATTTTAGCTTGTGGAATATTTACTATTCATATCAGTCGAGATTATACGTATATATACGATACGTAATAATAATAGAGATTCTAAATATCAGGTATCAGATGGAGAATGTGCATATTTATGAATATAACTGCAATTTGATAGTTAGGGAGTGCGTAATTTTTAGGGGAGGGGGTCAGCATCAATATATTGAATAAACCGTTATGATTGGCTGCGACGCGTCATAACCTAGTTCTATTTAGCTTCTAGTAGTCACGACGATTTTTTCTAATTTGTATATCAAGTATTTGTACAACTAGCAACTTATAATTAGGGTGAGTTGAGCAACTATTTCCTTCTCTTACAAAAGGTAACTTCTGTTTAGCAAGAAGGAAGCGACTGCAACAGAGGGGGAGACTGTCGGAAGCCAACAATGACAAGTCACCATCCAGTGGGTAGCCGGCTGACTTCATTGCACAAAAGTTACCGGGTGCGCCTGCGACGACGATTATGATTGTGATTATGAAGTTCTCAATGTACATAGGTGTTAATAAAAATAATATGACTTATCATAGGCTCACTTACTCACCATATCCCTTATATAAAATGATGAAGAAACTAGCAAGCCCGAAGATGATGATGCTGAAGATAATTAAAATAACTATAGTAAAAATGAAGAAGTTGAAGAGAATAATAATAATGATAGATGCATTCGTTCGGGAATTTGAAAAATTACCAGAATCATCAAAATTAAAATTAAAATCTGGCAGATTAGTTGAAAATATACATAAAAGATCACGATTACGAGCATCAAGTATTTAAAAAATTGGGTTCTCTTTTTATTAATTAATAATACTGATAATGTACATATTTTAACCTCGCCCATTTTTATATAATTGTGATGATAAAGAAATCAAAGAATTATTCAATGATGAAGAATGGACAGAATTAATCAAAGATCATTTACGAATTCCTCAAGTTCCGAAATATTGCTAAAGAAATTGCAAAAATATGGAAACAAAAACTTGGAACAACTGCGTAAAGCCATAACGGAATCATAGCTACCAAGTGGTGTATTTTGATACAATTAAACTTAATTTCATGGTTCCTGGTCATACAAAATTTATTTGCGATTCATATTTCGGAATTATTAAATCTAAACATAATGTTATTAGTATGGACCATGTTGAAACGATCGTCAATTAATCAAAAAAAGATGGGACTAACGTAGCAGTTAGATAAGATAAAAATGTTCAAGTAGGATGGAACTATTATGATTTTGAAATTAAGTATGATGGTATACGAGCATTTTAACATTATTATTTTTATTACAGTATAATAAACCTAGAAAGGTTTTTATATCATTAGAATCTAATGGTTTAAAATCTGAAGCCGAGATTCGAAATAAGATTTTTATTTTGATCCGTACAAACCTTTAGACACGATCCCCTTAAAGCCTTTGTCTTTTTAAAACGTCAAACATACTTGTTCAAAGAGATCCGTCCATATGTACACGAACCTTACAAAGACGAATTGGTTTGCTCCAAATGAGCATGATAGTAAAGAACATCTTGCATAA